AGAGGGACTGTACTGTTGGTCGAATGACACCCTCAAGACCTTCTTTATACACCGGGCACTGGATAGTAACGTGGGGTAAGAGTACTTTCGTTCCGTCAAGGCGTCTCGTTCGTTTTGCGGAGTAAAATTTGGAGTTGACTTTTAATTGCGTGACGGGGCCAATCATCTGAAAGATAGTCACGACAATAGCTTGGCAGAAGAACTGGTACCATGTTAGCAGTCAATTTAGGTATAGCGCTGGGTGTTGTTCTTACCAAGCTCAAAATAATCTGAGGGGGAGCCGTTACCAGAAGAAACAAACGATACCAGTGTCCCTCACTCGCAATCTCCAGTGCCATTGTGCTGCAGCCGAGCGCTATGAGGCAGAGACATATGGCAACGGTCAACCCGACGATGACGGCGTTGAGAAGCGGTGTTGGGCGTGGTGCATCGGAAGCAAATTCTAGATCGACATCGGCTACCACGGTTTCTTGCGACGTTGCGTAGACTTCTGTTGGCTGTGCCTTTTCTGTCATGCTGGGGGTGCGTGTTGGTGCAACGGAATGTGATGGTGTGTTGAGTATCGTTGTTAGTAGGTCTATACTGCCGCGGAGCATGACATTGACCCTGGTCTTGAGATGATCTTTTAGAGCAGGAACCCCTACACGCCGCCGGCGTTTCAGAACGGCCCATTCCATTTCTGCAAAGAATGACTCCTCGATGGAATTCCGCGTCTCGAGGGTGCAGTCTTGATCGCGTTCAGCGCTAGAGAGACTTCTGGTTGCGAACCAGGGATGGCCGAGATGGCGTTCCTTGTTACGCATGGCTCTCAACACCTGGATTGATCAGTCTGAGATACACCCTGTTCTGGAAGGGACCTGGGCTTACAAATCTTCTCTCATCTGTAGGAACAAAGTCACACTTGGTCACGACTGCGACGATGCGATTGCCTGTCACGTCAGCTGCTCGCGCAAGCCTCGGGCCCTCCTGGCTGCTCATATCAGTTGTCGCGTCCACGACAGATCTTTATTCTGTTAGTATTCTCCTTAAACAGTAAAAGGTAAGACTGACAGAATGATAGTGTTGGGTTGCTTGATGAGATCCATGATGAGAGATCTTGTCACCTCCTGCGTGTCATCAACTGACGGGCCTATATATGTGAGCTTCGGTAAACACAGATACCGCGGAAATGTGACTCACTAGACGATAGCCCAGGTGTATCGACGATTTCCATACTGAAAAAGTCTGGGCCCGAGATCTCAATGACAAGTACATTGTCAGATACTTGTTGCTCTTCTTGTTCCTTCCCGTCAGAGAATGCAGTTGCAATCTGCATGTGATTCGTTGCCTGTATTTTTGTCTTGCGATTAGAAAAGTGTGCCAGGAAAAAGGGAGTCACAGAAGGTACCAACCTGGTTCACGATTTGAGGAAGATTGACAGCCGCAAGGTCTCCCTCATAGTTCACCTCGAAACTGCGCAGGTGGTCTGAAAGCTCTCTACTCTCACCATTGACCTTCCCTGGCTTTATCCATGCTTTCAGGGTCGTCCCCGTCCGACTGCTGTGCGTAAAGCAAGCATGGATAGGGAATTTCGTAGACGAGAGACGAGAGCCGTGAAGACATAAGCCAGAGAGAGCTTCGAACAAAGAAGTCTTCCCAGAACCTTTGTCTCCGATTATGGCTACCTAAGTATCTCCTGTTAGTGTCCATCCTTGAGTATTAGCCATGTGAGTGCTTACAATAGGGACAGGCGATGAGGCACCTAGTGACAAGCCAGTGACATAGCCAATTAACCCATTAGCTACAGCCCCTGACATGCTGGCTGATCTTCGACTTGTTCCAGAATCCATCATGTCTATCATTTCTTTGTTTGACGATCCCTGAGGTGTTAAAGAGTGCACCAGTCTTTGTTATGTAGCAGCGCCAACGGGAGATCGGCAGACACCGTGCTGCATGGCAGATGTCGTGGTCTCTATGGATACGCATACCCCTCTTGAGCAATTCGCCGACGACGGAAGAACCTTTGTCAGTTCTCACAAACCGAAAAGAGCAAGGCATCATGAGACTTGAAGGGTTTGTGATTGGTAGGGTCGTAATACGCGAGTCGTGCACGCGGGCGTATTTGTGCCGTTGCTAATCGGGGCATTCCACGGCAGATACAAAGTGGCTGAAACCGGAAAACGTATTGTGGATCGACTGAGACATCTTCGCAACGAACAATGGTGTGACATCATGATCTGATGAACTTATTGGGATAGTAGCCTTTGTAATCGGAACTTTATTACATTCTTGGACAGTGAGTTGAAGCAAAAACGGCACAACAATCTTGATTGGGGGTCAGATATGTATTGCAGTATGAGACTTGTGACTGAGATTTTATAAGCACTATATAGCAAGTAATAGAACGAGGACACAGAGTTTTCAAGAGGCTGGTATTTTGGGGATTTTGATTTCAAATTCTATATAGTAATATACAAGGCAGTAAGCGGCCCGAGTAGACCAAGATAGGATATCAACGGCTGAATCATCAGGGCCTGCGAGTCACTGTCCTCCGTAACCAACGCTGGAACAACGTATGTAGGTGTAGATGGCTTGGAAGCTGTTACATTAGGCTTGACGACATTATCGCCTGGAATAACGCCTGTAGCATCACCTCCAAGGTACCAACTCCCTATATCAGTCAACTGTCCATTTGAATTCAGCATTGACACATTATACCCAACATTCGACGTAAATGAGCGGAAAGACCCAAAGTAAGAATAGTGAGTGACGTTTCTAAACAGCCGCATTAATGACTACATTCAAAAGTGGTGAACGTGACTTACTTGTTTCCATCGAGATATTTCACCGATGTCTGGAAGTAATCCTGCGTCGCAGCCAGAGATGAAAAGTCCAGAGCAAACTCGGTAACCCAGATCTTCTTACCAGGAAATACATCCAGCACACCAGCTATATGACTCGCCATGCCATCAAAGCTTCCGTACCAATGTATAGGGATAAAGTCAAACGTGCAGTTCCCCTTACAAGCTTCTACAAAGTCCGCGAGCCACGTGAACCCCGAAGGTGCACCCGTCACCGCAGGCGCACCAAGTGAGACGCCTAATTTTCTCAGCGGCTCGAGCTGTTTGATCCAATACTTCGCTGCGTCTTTTGGCTTCATGTCACTGCCGCCGTTGGCCATTGAGTTGTCCGGCTCGTTGAAGCCCATGACATACGTGATGTTTCGACCACCGATGATTTGCGCCGTGACATTTTCGAGAAATGATGTGTCATCGAAGCCATCGGGGGCGCCCCAGAGCATGGGGACGAACTGGAAGTTGGTGTTGTTCTCGTAGACGGGACTGGGGTGCGGTTTGTAGTTGTAGTACCATGTTAGGTCGGAGTGTTTCTGAACCCAGACTTTGTCGTCGCTGGGGAAGTCGGAGTTGGGGATGTAGATGAGACCGCGTTTTGAGGAGGGGTAGAAGTTTTTGGATATAGCTATGCATGAGGTTGTGAAGAGGGCCAGGGCCACGAGTGAGGATTGTATGAGCATCATCATGAGGCGAGGATAACGAGGGACGAAGTTTGGAAAACGAATCGAGCATAATCTCGTCAGTAAGAGGCTCAGAGGTAAGGGGACACTTCTTTCTGCACAAACTCAGGTCGCTTGGGTTGCCATGTTCCAACTGCCGATAAGGTTTTGTGGATGCACAGCATGATTCCAGGCCTAAGTTCAAGTTGATGCTGTTTGCGGCACAAAACGTGATATTTCCAGACCAACATCTGTTTACTGAGAATAGACCGAATCCTCGCTCTCGTAGCCCTGACTCGCGCACTCAAAACAAATACAGCGAGGGCGGAAAAGTCGGGCCGCTCAACTTCACCTCGGCGATAAAAAGGCGGGTCATGGTGTAATATGATTGGCCAATTGCGCGATAGTGCAGTCTTTAGCTATTGCATTAATTGATACGCATGCCATCTCGTACCTTGCATTGTGAGAAGTGATCCTCGATACCGATACTTATTGCCGATCTTGGAGATGGGGTGATTCCTCGTCGGATGAGTTTGCGTGATGGAATGTGATTTCTCCCCTGCCAGGGAAGTGATTCGGCTCCGTCGGCCGAATGGCTCAATTGTCCGTTTTTAGGCTGTTCACTTGACTCTCGGGGGCTTGGTGACATGTTGTTGGTCTGTGTTGACTATGTGGCGTTGACTACGGGGATTTTTCGTAGGTCGCTACCCCACGATGAACCCAATAGGCGCTTTACACTCGATGTTTTGACCTTGGAGAGGCCCGTAAATCGATTTCCCAGATCGCCCTTAGCCCTTATTGTAAACCAAGGAATTACATTCTGGTAAATCAGTCAAGTTCCAATTCAAGACCGTTGTAACGCCAGTGGAATTCTCACCTCCCAATCTGTATGTTATATCCGCTGCAGCCATGAGTCAGACAGAGGGGGGCCACTCCCGCGAGTATCCGGTGACGTAGCCTGCGTAAGTTCGGAAGAGGCGTTATCAGGAACAAGTTGCCGTAGTGGACACGGTCAGATAAACGGTATACTTAAGCGAAGCAGGGTTTTTAATTGGCATCTTGCCTCAACTAGGCAAGCGTCTTCCTCGCCAAGTTTTTGACATATGCACTCTGCTCCTCCAGATCCGCTTCAATACTACCTCGCGTAGCAGTGCCAAGGCATCGTGACCAGATAATCGACGAGACCCACAAACTAGCAGATTTATGCCATTTTACAGAGCTTCGCACTCATGGACTTTTGTACGGAAGCGAGTTATGTGAGTTTGGTTGGTCCGGTCTTATCAAAAGTACCCCTCGGTCTGTCTACGGCGACTGAAGTCTTTAGAGTAGGAAGGAATGTCGTAAGTCCAAGGAAGGGGATGTAGTTGAGTTTGAAAATAGATGGGATTCATTCTGGCATGGAAGCCTTGGATGTTATGAACAAATTTCGGTACTGTAGAAGTTTGGTAATTTTGATGGGTTCCCCTACGAATACTAGTCCTGATTCTTATATTCGACGCTGCCCAAAATGCCAAGCAGGTCTTTTACATCTAGCACCCTGCCATTCCTGTCTCGGGTAATACACCGGATACTGACAGTTTCTACCATAATGTCGAGTACTGCAATTAGATCCTCTGGATCATATCTCGCCTCTACTAGCCATGCAAACTCAACAGAAGACTTGGTCAGACCGAGCCTTGCAGCTCAAAGTTCAACTGAGTCCTCACTCAAGAAGAGATTTCCCCCGCGCCCATATTTCCATTCTCGCCGGGTAAAGAAGGGCACTGTCGAGAGACCATACCTTGCAGTAAAGGACCCTCGGGGCATATGGATTACGATCATCCCTGCGCTGGGCATCCTTGTCGGACTTGCTGCTATAGCGCTTCTGACATGGAGTGGCTATAGATCAGTTGATAGACATAAATACTGCACGGTCTTTACAGATGACTTTTCTAATGGATTCAATTCTACAATATGGAATAAGCAGGTAGAGGTCGGAGGATACGGGTACGTTGAAAATTCGTATCTCATATTGATGAATGCTAACAAGTGCCGATTCTAGAAATGGCGAGTTTGCGCTGACGACAAATACGGACGAAAACGTCTTTGTCCGCGATGGTCAACTCATCATCAAACCCACCCTACAAACCGATAAATTCCTCTCCGAAACAACAAAGATAAACCTCACAGCTCACGGCACCTGCTCCGCCACAACAACCCAAGACTGTGTTCAAGTCGCGAACCTCACCGCGGGAGAAATCGTCGCGCCCGTCAAGTCCGGCAGGATCACGACAAAGAACTTTGGCGTCATCCGCTACGGCCGCGTCGAGATCGTCGCCAAGCTCGCAGCGGGAGATTGGCTCCTCTCGCAGCTCATGATGTTCCCAGCCAAGGACTACTACGGCGCTTGGCCTGTGTCTGGCGAGATTGATATCGGGATGGTGCGGGGGAATAATTATACTTATGATAATGGGCGCGGGAACCAGCAGGTGTCGACTCAGCTGCACTGGGGTCTTGATACAGGCACGGATCGATGGCAGAGCACTTCGGGTGCGAGAAATGCGCTGCGAACGACCTTTCATCGAGACTTTCATACCTTTGGACTAGAGTGGTCGGACAAGTATCTCTTCACGTGGCTAGACCACCGCATCGCACAGGTCACGTACGTCAAGTTCAATCACCCGTTCTACCAGCACGGCGGCTTCCATCAAGCCCTCGCCAACGGATCGCAGATCTCAAATCCGTGGAGTGGCCCGGGAACAAGCAATGTGACGCCCTTTGATCGACCGTTCTACCTGATCATCGCGCTGGCTGTTGGGGGAACGTCGGGCTGGTTCCCGGATGATGTGCACGGTAAGCCCTGGGTGAATGATGCGATCACCCCGAAGACGGATTTCTGGAACGCGAAAGATCGGTGGTATCCGACGTGGGAGAAGAATGATGGCGGGGAGATGGTGATTAAGAGAGTTTCTATGTGGCAGCAGTGTGATCGTGCTGCTACTGATTTATCGCATTTCTCATCAAGTTAGATATCAGGCAGTTCAATAATCTCATAACGGTTACTAGAGCTCGCTCCATCACTGTACTTTCAAAGAGTCTCGCCACTTATTTTGTGTTTGCAATTGCAGTACACCAGATATCGGAATGTCGCACAAGTCCAAGTCCAAGGGAAGATGATGGACAGGCTTTGAGTAGTGAACTAATGCCCACTTTATGAGCGGATCGTTGCTAATAGGCTGCAGGAAAATCATGCGTTGGCCGGGTTAATAATTTACCGACATTTACTCCAAGAAATCACGGCCTGTGAAATAATACAGGGTAGCTTATGAAGATCCGGGACCAGGCTGGTCAGTAAACCATTCTGATAATACAGCCTACCGGGAAAATAAAGAACGGCCCCTAAATGGATGAATTACTAGGCAATTCTAGTATCAGCGAAACTTATTTAGGATTGAGTATTCTCCATTCGGTAAATAGCTTTCTCCAGCTGAAACGAGATGAACAATAATCGAGACATTCGAGAGAGCTTGGCTGTTAGTCGCTATTACATTAATTGATAGAGATTGTTGAAGAAATATTGAACGGGCGAGGTATTTCGAGATATAACAGGCAGAAGCATAAGATGGCCAGAGCATGGTCTTGATTTAATTGCGTATGCTACGTCGCGTTTTGGGGTATCAATTATCTTCTTAATCTTTGGTGTATAGTAACAATACAGGCTTACTTTTGTAAATCCAACTGACACGTCTTACTTTTTAAAATTTCCAACAGATGCCAGACAGACACCTTGTTATCGCGACGTTAAGCTCTCAACCTCGGATCGAGCCATCTATTTTCAGCTTTAGATCCAACAGCGCCGAGATACAAGTCAACTCATCTCCGACTGATAAGATAAGCTTGTCCAGAGGCCAATCGAGACTCTGGTGTGGCTGGCTGACATTCCAACTACCATATCGATAGTTATCTCTGGCGTAAACAAGGGAGAGGCTCGCTAGCGTAAACCAGCTAATCAGATGGTGATATTCGCCGCCACTCCAATACTTGCCGCTGTGATAAGCGAAAAGGGAAATCAATCACCAATAGCCTTACCCAAATCGGTGAAGGCCCGGGGTTTGGCGCTGTTGTCCCGTCGTTCCGTGCCGAGTTGAAGATCATTTTTGGAATTGAGTGGCACCGATAGCTCCCTCTGGCGTAAAATTCAGTAGCTAATCAGTCGATGCGAATGAAAATCGACATCTTCTCGTTGGTCGAATGAACCGAGTGGCTGGCACTACTCAATTCCACGAGTTCATAGCGTGGCAAGCTGCTCCAGCCAGCATGAAGAATAATTAGTCTTGGCTCCTCCATCCAACGCTCCCTTGATCAATTGCTCTTGTCTTCTTAGAGGTGCCATACAGAAGCCTCAAACAAAAATGAAGTCGGCGCATTTCTTTACAGGCATCTTCGCTGCGCTTACTCGAGCAGCACCTACTGTCGACGAGACATACCAATACAATGGACCTGATGTTCCCATCGGCGACTGGGTCGACCATACGATTAAGGGCGATGGCACCGGATTCATTCGTCTAGTTGAACCTCCGGCTGTGAAGCCTGCCCATGACAAGCCTACAAACAACGTCAATGTCATCTCACTGTCATACATACCTTCCCAGTCTGGAGGCGACACTGTTGGCATCAACATCCACTATCAAACGCCTTTTGGTCTTGGTCAGGCACCCTTTGTCAACTGGGGAGTCAGTAATTCGTCCTTACACAAGGTGGCTCCCGGCTCGACCGTAACATACGAGCGCACGCCTCCTTGTTCTCACGTTAACGTTACCCAATGCAGTCAATTCTTTCACAACGTGCAGATAGAGAATCTTCAACCAGGGACAATGTACTTCTACCAAATCCCCGCAGCGAACGGTACCACTGTATCCCCTGTTTTGAACTTTACAACTGCCCAGGCGGTAGGCAACCCATCTCAATTCAGTATCGCCATCAACAACGATATGGGGTACACGAATGCAAATGGATCGTACTTTTTCATGAACCAACACATGAATGATGAGGACGGCCTCGCGTTTGTCTGGCACGGTGGAGATCTCAGCTATGCAGATGACTGGTACTCTGGCATCGTGCAGTGCAACTCATCAGTTTGGCCCGTCTGCTACAACGGCAGTCACAGTTCCCTGCCCAACAACGATACCAATCCCGATTATTTTGACACGCCTCTGCCGAAAGGTGAGATTCCCAATCAAGGTAGCCCTCGAGGCGGCGATATAGGAGTCCTCTATGAATCCAACTGGGATCTTTGGCAACAGTGGATGAACAACATCACTATGAAGATCCCTTACATCGTCCTCCCCGGCAACCACGAGGCCACGTGTGCCGACCATGATAATACCCCATTTGTCCTTTCGTCATATCTTAACGAGAACAAAACCGACACCCCCATGTCAGGCGATAATCCCAACGCCACTCTGACATATTATTCATGTCCGCCTTCACAACGCAATTTCACGGCGTTCCAGAACCGCTTCTTCATGGCAGGCGATAAGTCTGGGGGCGTCGGGAATTTCTGGCATTCGTTTGACTATGGCCTTGTTCATTTTGTATCTATCGATACGGAAACGGACTATGCCAACAGCCCCGACAAGACATTCCGTGAGGATGTCCAGAAAGCTAAGAAAGAGGAAGAATGCAAAGGCAATGGCAATGACGAGACTAAGTGCACGTCTGAGGCGCCCGAACCGACTGGTTATCATTGTACCAAAATCGATCTGTGTGATGACTTTGCGACAGATGACTTGGAGGAAGAGACATATCTTGAGTCTGGGAAAGCGCATCCCCTACGAAACGAGACGCATATCACAGATGCAGGTCCTTTTGGATACATCGAAGGCTCCATCAAGGATAACAAAGCTTATCAGCAATATCAGTGGTTGAGCGAGGACCTTAAAAACGTTGATCGGTGTAAAACACCCTGGGTTATCGTCATGGGTCATCGTCCCATGTACAGCTCCCACGACGCCAGTAACTATCATCTGCACCTTCGCGAGGCATTTGAGGGTTTATTCTTGAAGAACAAGGTCGATTTGTACATCGCTGGGTAAGTCATCACGAATCTGTCAAGCATACCAGGCTAACTGACCATAGACACGTCCACTGGTATGAGCGTCTCAAGCCTATAAGGAATTGCGACGTCGACCATCGTGCGATTAAAAACCATAGTGAGAATATTTACGAGGTGAGGCCTGGACACTCTATGGTTCATCTCATCAACGGCGCTGCTGGGAATATCGAAAGCCACGCTACCATCAACAAGTCCTTGCCTATACCCGAAATTACAGCTCATCGGAACATCACTAGTTTTGGTTTTTCCAAGTTGACTGTTTTCAACGCAACGACTCTGTCTTGGAAGTTCATCCAGGGCCACGATGGTCTCACCGGTGATGAACTTACTGTGCTGAAGGATCCTAAATTGACTTGCAAGGATTACAAAACTCATAGCCCATCGAGCTCATCGAGCTCATCGAGCTCGTCTGGGTCGTCTTGCGCTACTGAGTGCTCTGGATCTGGCGTTCTGGCCTGGCTCTACTGCAATGTCTATTGTGCCAGCTTCGGGGAACCACTCAAGGTTTAAACCTGGCGCTTGTACCTTGACACAGTCACAATTCATACATGAGAGAATAACCTTGTCAAGATACTTTCCAGATCTGAGATTTGCTTTGCTATCAAGTGCTGTGAATGAGTGGCTTGTCTCATTGGTCCATGATGGTCGAATTGGGCTAGTGAAATGAATACTGGGTATTGTAGCTTACGCTTTTGCAAGCAAAGCCTTAGTGCTCACAACTATTGGTCTTAGCGCTACGATAACTGCACTATTGAATTCTAAACCCCTATCTGTTGCCCAAAACACGGGTTTCATCTACAAAAGGCAGTTTCCCACTGCCGAGAATTGCCGTCCAACACGCTGTGAATATGGATATTTAATCTGTGTACTTGACCCTAATGCTTTTGGTATTTTTGGACCTCCGTTCCTTTAACCTCACGCCCAAGCCACGCTCGTTAATTATCTCACTCAGTCACTCTTTTCTCTCATTCTTTCCTTGTACCCCAGAATAGAACCTCGCAACTCATAGACGATGGTCCACGGCAAACCACTCCTAGTGGCGTTGGCAGTCGCCTCGACCGTTATCGCTAGTCCTTGCAAGCCCAGTACGACTAGCCCAGTCCTCAGTACCACTACGACCGCAATCGATGAAACTTCTAGCATTGAAACCTCTACCGCCAGCGGCACCACTATTGTTGAGACCACCGCCACCGCCACCACTACAACGACAGAGCCTGATACCACTACAACTGTTGCTCTGACTACAACAACTGCAGAAGCTGATGTCACGACTACAACCACCGCCGCAGAGACTACCAGCACCGCCCCCTGCGCCGCGGCTCCAACGGCCTGTGGGATATACGGTTACTTCGTCGAAGGGAACACTTTGCAGTACCTAAGCAGTCCGGGAACAAAGGATAATGCCAAGGACTGCGTGCAGGCTTGCGCTGATTATCCCGACTGTGATGTAGTCGATTATTATAATGAAGCCGTCATTGGATACGGAAAAGGGACTTGCGAGTTCTGGAAGGGAACAGTCAAGACTGACGGTGCACAATCGTCCCCGTACCAATGGTATCAAGTTTGTTGCCTGGCCAATATGTAATAGAGCTATACAGTCGATTGCTTCCCTGAAGGATACGCTTTAGGCTGCCAATTTAGGTGACAATTTAGATTTATGGAAGATAGATTCGTTATGGCTTTCTGGTGGCATGATAACATTTCTGAGGGTCAAATAACTTTAATCCAGACCACACGCGGCAGCATCTTACTGCAACTATTCTAGCAAGGGAGATTTGCAGTGCCTCATAATAAGAGATATATTCCTGGTGGTAATTACTTCGGAATAGATGTCGGCTGCATGTAGTCGAACATTCTGATAGTGATTTTGGGATACAAGCGGGCGGTTGAATGACCTAATTCATCTGTTTTGTTTTATCTTGTCGAAATGTCCTATGTTTGTCGGCAGCACTTAGCGGCGCCATTCAAGTACAACTAAGCGAGGACTCAAGAATCCAACGCTCTTCTAATGAATTGAAGACACCACCTCCAGTCCTTTCAGCAGTGACAGCTTTGTCTTCGCCATTGCCATTAACCGCGTTTAACGACGACCTCTATTCGCAGGTAAAACATGCGGCAATACTTATCCTGGAAATACCAGATGCAACATAATATTATAGCAGCCTTGAGAAATTGCCAGCGCTGATGAGCTCAAAAGACCAGATAAAATACAAAGGAATCCCAACTCTCTCTTGCGAATTACAGCTTGCTCTTTAGCCCTGCACTAGCGGCGAGAACAGCTCTCTGCTTCTCGCCTCCATGCTCAACCTTGACAGGGGCATCAAAAACAGTAGCATCAGGCTTCTCCTTTCGGTTCTCGGTATCAACATACTCCCTCTCACCCTCTCCAACATAGAGTTGTCTTGGTCTCCAGATCTTGACGCCCGACTTGTTCAGCATCATCTGTCTCCAGTGCGCCAACCAGCCTACGCATCGCGGGACCGCAAACAAAACAGGATAGAAATCAAGCGGGAATCCCATGGCCTGGTAGATCAGGCCGGAGTAAAAGTCCACGTTGGGGTATAGGTTCCTGCTGCGCATGAACTCGCTCTTGCGCGCGTAGTCGGCGAGCGTCAGGGCCGTGTCGAGGAGCTTGTTACGGCCGGTGACCTCGAACACTTCCTCGGCGAGCTTGCGGATGGCGGTTGAGCGGGGATCGACGTTTTTGTAGACGCGGTGGCCGAAGCCTACGAGGACGCGTTCCCTTCTCTCAACGGCTTGCATGAAAGCCGGGACGTTCTCGGGGGATCCGATCTCGATAAGCATTCTGATGGCTGATTCGGAGGCTCCTCCGTGAGATGGACCGTAGAGAGCCGCGCATCCCGCAGAAACAACGCTGTAAGGATCGACCAGAGAACTTCCAACTTGCAGGACTGTGGCGGTGGAGCAGTTGACTTCGTGGTCGGCGTGGAGAATGAAGAGTTTGTCCAAGGCCTTGGCAAGAACAGGATGAGGTTGGTAGTCTGGCTCAGACAGGTTATCCAGAAGATAGAGGAAGTTTCCAGTGTACGACAAGCCTTGTGCAGGGCGGTTGAAGGGTCGGCCCTGTCGCATTCTGTACGACGCAGCCGCCAGAGTAGGAGCCTTTCCGAGAATTCGAAGAATCTGCTTGTCCAGCATCTTGAGGGAATCCATGTTGCCCGAAGCAGCGTTGGTGTAAAGCTTCTGCCCTGCAAGCGAGGGATTGGCCTCCGGAGCAAACGCTCCGAGGGTAGCGAACGCCGCACTCAACATGGACATTGGATGAGAGTCGTAGCGGAACGACTTGAACATGTTCTCGATATCGCTGTGGATATACGTGTGATGCATCACCTCTCCCTGCCATTCATCATACTGCGCCTTTGTGGGAAGGTCTCCGTAGATGAGAAGATACGCTGATTCGAGAAAGTTGCTCTTCTCGACCAACTGCTCAATCGGATATCCGCGGTAGCGAAGGACGCCGTCCAGGCCGTTAATGTATGTGATTTTGCTCTGCACGACAGCAGTGTTCATGTACGCGGGATCATACACCCTAAGACCCTGCGTAGTCTCATCCTCTGGGCGATCATTACCAGCCTCGGCTTTGATCTTCTTGAATTCCGTCGCCGGGATGGAATTGTGAGTGATGGGGATCTCGTAGGTTTGGTTTGTTCTGTTATCCACGACCGTGAGCGTCTCGCGACGGCCCTTGTTCTGAACCGAAACCATGATTAAGATAATACAAGATGAGGGAAAAGAGATGCAGTGATTATGTCGAGTTGATGAGGATAAGCAACGAGTCTTGATGATTTAAAACGATTTTCAGAAGCAAACGCGTCAATGACACGTCACGTGGACGCCTACCTCGGCATGACGATATAAGTGGAACGTGCAAAGACCTCGGCCCTAGTGGGTTTGGCGGCATTTGGGGCGGGAGGTGAGACGACATCAGTACTAACACCAATGGCAGTGTTTTATAGCATTTTGCGATACCAGCCAAGTCCCTCCGGTTTCTGCACCTGCCTGTGAATTGCTATCTACCCTACAAGTCTGACATGAGATATTGATCAAAACAGAATAAATTATTTTAAAACAAGATACTCTTTATTATTAAGTACTTTATCTCTCCAATCGTAAGAACCCTTAACAGTGTTTCTTATTACCGCTTTTTAATTCCAATATTGACTTTTATAAGCTTACGTGTTGTTCCTTCTGTAGATTCCACTCCAGAGTCCACTAAACAAAATTCGTATCTCCTTATCAAAGTTGCCGCAATAATCTTCATCTCAACTTCTGCTAGGTTACGTCCAACGCATGCTGCCGGGCCGTGACCAAATGGGATAAAAGAAGCATTCTGACGGCCTGACAGCTTCTCCCATCTCTCAGGTCGAAACTCATTGGCATCTTGACCCCATATATCTTTAGATCGGTGAATGGTATAGATCGGGACGCTCAAAACTGTGCCGGGAGGAAAATAAAAAGAGTCTAACTGAACCCCTTTGGACCCGGGAAGCACCTCTCGAGGGAGGCCGATCCCGAGGACGCTGTGTAGACGCATCGTCTCATTGAGAACAGCGTCTAGATAAGGAAGAGCCCGGACACTGGTGAACGGCGCAACTGTTGCCGGCACATGTATACCGTCCAGCTCAGTTTGCAGCTTTTTCAGTGCAGAGGGCGAGGTGGCGAGGTAGTACATCATGGCAGAGAGCGTGTTGCTGACGGTCTCAATGGCTGCCATGAACAAGGTCAATGACTCGGAGGCAATCTCTTCGAATTTGAGCAATTCCCCTTGGTCATCACGCGCACGAAGTAAGAGTGAGAGCCAATCATCATGATTGTCTTGTCCTGCAGCCATGCGCTCTTTGACATGAGAGGAGGTCACGCCCAGCAGGTTTTGCAGCCCATCCATGCCTCTGTGGAAAAACGGATCAGGCAGGTGATGTGCATGGGGCTTCAGCCAGGGCAAGATGCCAGGAGTAGCGACGGCGGCACTCCTTTGCGCAAGACTGTTCATCATAGACACGTAGGACCCGGGCTTGTTGTCGACCTTGACCAGATCAGAGCCATTTCTAAGCATTCCAAATGGCTCGCTGAAGAGAAGATCACCGGTGATGTCAAACGACAAGTATCTTGTTGCAAGATTAATGTATGTCAGCCGAACAGTGTAGAAAGAACTTACGTGAACCATCGTCTGCATTCAAGGTGCGCGAACCCATCAAACTGCGGCCCTTTGTCGATTATCTCGTCCCACTTGCGGACCAGAAGCTCCACTTTGTCGGCGATCGGCCCCTCGGCCGCACGAGAAGACTTGGGGGCGAAGCTGTGGGCGATGTATCTTCTCTTGCGAGCATGTTCGGCGCGATTTCTCGCCGTGAAGATGCTTCGAGTGAGTGAGGGAAATTGACGAATCGTACCAGGATCTTGATGAAGTGAGTATAGACATCAGAAAGATACGAATGTGCAACTCACGACTTTTCCAACCCTCTCCCATGGCCGTAGACGAGATGTATGGCCCTTTCGTCCACGATACTAACATGGTTCGGCTGGATCCTGACGACGGGTCCGAGTCGCTCGTGGAGATCATACACTGTGTCTGAGCGCTTGGACTTGCGGCAGATATACAAGAGCCAGAGGTTTGAGAAGCGAGCCAGCAGCGGGCCAGGTATTCCTCTTAGATGTCTGTACGTGTAAAAGTAGGGAAGAATGTAGAACAAAAGTCCGCACAGAAGTACTGTCAAAGCCCCCCAGGGCGAAAGTAAAAGAGAATCAATAGACATTTTCCCAGAGATTGACAGGGTAGATGTCGATGTGGGTGAGGAAGATTGCAAGCGGCGTGATATAACCAAGACCGTATCAGTTCTCAGAAACCTGTCGGATGGAATGTGGTTCTCCGTCAAGAACTGTTGGCGCATACTGTACATGTAACACCGCTGAAGCTAGGTTGCAGCGTCATCTGTCGGGAACTTTCACTTTGAGTTTGAAATAGCCATCGGAGGAGTACTTGCATCCATTAGCCTATCGGTATTCGGAAAGTGTCTCCCGGGCCATGGATGATTATCCCATACTCCATATCTCCTATTGCTGGGTCGTAGTATTGCGTATTATCGGACAAGTCACGGATGTTGCAGTGGGTGTTAGAACCGGAATAAAAAGTTGCGTTCGGAAGTTTCATTGCATCTATGTATGCTTGATATCGTATGATTCCTTCCAGCTCTATCTGCCGAAGTCGGTGACTGCCTGTCTGTTTATGCATAGTGTACACGAGGTCATGATGTATTCAGGTCCACTTGCGTAAGTTCAAGACAAATCATTCCAGTTGTGAATTTAGTTCAATGTTTAGTTGTATCAAGAGTACGTGAATGTACGAGGAATAGTTTGTTGTATGCCGGAGCTTCGCGTCGTCGGCGATTCCCACTACACCTGATGGAGTTTATGTGCTGAGAATATGTAACATTACAGCCATAGCATCGGCAAAGATATCCCATTGGCATGAGAGAAGGTGAAAACAATGCCTCGGTGCAGAATGTAGATATGTATTCTTAATATTGAATCAAAAGTAAGTAGTCTATATAAGCTGTCTATCCAGAGTACACAGAACAGGTTAAGACTGTGTATTGTAACATCTTTACTGATATTTTATCAACTTATCGCATATTTCCAACAACTGAAACAACGTTGACCATGCGTTCTGCCATTGACAGCATCTCAATTGCCTCCTTTGAGACAATCAACTACTCCGCTCTCGAAAGACGAGAAGCGAAAGAGATTGAAAAACTCATGGATGCAAGCCGTATAGCCGGATTCTTCTACCTAGACTTTGACCGTAGTGGTGCAGCTGGTCTACCCAAGAAAAAGAAAGAAGTTCTCAAGGCAATGAAGGAGTACTTCAGTCAGCCCGATGACATCAAGCAACTTGACAGTAAAGGCGTTCCTACGCGTGGGTAAGTAGGCCTCAGTTATGAATGACCCAGTGCTGACTAGATTTAAAGATATGTTAAGAAGGGCACCTTCACCGCTGTTGACCCCAGCCGCCCTGACGAATCTTTTGAGCATCTTGCTGTAAGGCATATGATCGGTTTGGCTGATGCATGACTGACTTGAAAGCAGATTGGAACGCACGACCTGGGAACTAATCTAGCTTCCACGCTCCCTGCAGTGTTCAAGAAGGCTGGAACGCTTATCCCCGACTACGTAGCTCTCTGTGAGCGTGTAGTCGACGTTCTGCTGGGCTGCTACTCACAGGCTCTAGGCGTCCCTGGTCAGTTCCTGGAGTACCACGACCACGAAAAACCATCCGATACCATCCTTGCCATGCTGAGCTATCCTGGAAGGCTCACCCATCAAAAACATACCGATCTGGGATCCTTGACTGTTCTCTTTAGTGATGAGTGGGGACTTCAGGTTGTTGAGCCCAGCAACGGCAATTGGGAGTGGGTCGAGCCGCGGGAGAACGACGCTGTCATCAATGTTGGCGACACTCTTCGCTTCCTCTCGGGCAAGACCTTGTATTCCTGTGTTCACAGGGTCATCAGAGATGGTCGTGCTAGCGATGAGGGGCATAGATACTCCATCGCATATCTGCTGCGTCCTGGAGATGACGTGAGCTTTGTCGACGCCGACGGGTCTAGGACTACCGCCCAATCTTTTGCCGGTATCAAGTACAAAGCTTATTCTGCGGACCATGCTGAGCAGGACAAGAATACGGTCCTGACTGGTGGAATGGAACAGGTACTTGGTGTTCGTGCCTAGATCGACCAATCAATAGAAGTTATCTCTTCTCTCTATTCTCCTCTCCCGATACAGAGTCAACCTAAATAAAGACCTCTTGACACTCGGACCAACGCTTTCAATGACTAACAGGCGGCAACGGCCCGAGCCTCCATTCTTGGTGGGCACACCCTGGCCTTGTCCTCTTTTGCGGTGAATGGTAATGCTGGTGAACTCAAATTAGACTTTGGTACTTCCGAGGAGGCCGACGCCCCAGCTTTAAGCATTAAGATCATCGAGCAAGGTATTGGGTGAAACCGGTAGTGCGACAGTATCGCCGCACCAATTGAGATTCGATTAAATTTCATGATGATTGGCAAGCTTCATGTCTTCTCATTACCTATTACATTGATTATCCACGACTGTACATCATCGGGTTCTAAGTAATAATTAAAGGAGCTCAACCGAAATGTTTGCAGCCTCTGTCACTTTTGTGTCACTTCTTTGCTTTCCGTTCCCCCGAGCTTTTAGTCATCTCGGTAAAGCACACATTGATCGACCGGACAGGGGTGCTGGCCGTGGAGCTCTAATTTTGACAAATCTCGATTCGGTATTGTACCTCCTAAGCCTGTATTCAACATCAAGCTTCGGTTCTGACATGCCGAGGCGCATTTACATACTATTACAAATGCAAACCGGTTACAGGAATTGTCAAATCTGTAACAGGGGTTTCGGAGGCTTTTCCAAACTGTAATAAATTAGTTATTCTCTAAAGTCCCAAGATGCAGGCCACGTAAGACCTCGCAGGGATCATGAGTACAACTCTCTGTAATCCGATATGGGCTTATGCTGGTACTCAGTAGCGCCGGCTATTGCTTATTGGTGTTTTCAGAAAGAGAACACGCCAATGGTAATAGTTAATATTCTGCCAGGAAAGACCAAAGAGGGGTAGTGAAGAAAGACGAATTCAGGTTTGTGACTGCAGGTAACAAAGACCCCAATACTTTATTCAAACATAAACTCTATACCCACATTTCAGGGTCCTGAAATTCAATAGATTGTAAAGCAATACGGTTTAAGTAAAAGACTCTCGTTATTACTATTCGACTATGGAGATAGTATCACAGGTTTGCTGCGAGCTCTATGCTACAATAGCTAGGTCTGAGAGTCGAAATGATATTACTGCTTGGACCTGTGTTCCTCCATGAGCTCGTGTATATGTTTGTTCAAGAAGTATCCCTTCAGCTTCTCCGGCTCAACATATCGCGAGCCCCGAATGGCAACCAGGCACCTCTCTGTTCCGCATTCACAAGGAAACGACTGGGCCATTTCCCATTCCGCGCTTGGGTAGAACCAAGTCAGCTCGTCACCCTTCGCGATATGACGATCATCCGCCACGCGGACCTCCATGCGAGTGGTGTCAACCACGAGGTTAGGATCACAGGAGTGATTGATGAAGACAATGTCAGAGTTAAACTCCATGTGCTCATCACGGCCAGTCTGGAACGAAGTCCAGGTAGCGCGGGGAGTATGAGTTGCCTCGGTGATTTTGGCAAATAGGGCTCCAGGTGGGAGCGAAACGAGGGATATGGCTGCTGATTTGAAGGGCTGATCAGACCGGACAACTTTGAGAAGACCGGAGTGGCTTTGGCCCGCTGAGGAGGGTCTTGCTTGGGGCAAGGAATGATAAGCGTTGGATACAGCTGCGGCCATTGTAGACAATGAGAAGTATTAGATTCAAGTGATGTTGTGATGAGATAGCTCGAGAGGGCAGGACTAGTGGTGGTTTATGCGGTAAGATAATGGTGATATTCCATTGATTTATACAGAGTGGTATGTTCGGCTATCAACACTTTCTGTCCCGCCTTACGCGTTTGGCAACAACAATTGAGTTTCGGCAGTTGAAAAGACCCTCGCAAAACCTAGACAAAAGGAGGTTGTTGAGAGCAGTTTGTCCGATGAAGTTTCCGAAATTCGGCCTCAAAATGTCATATCGTATAGTCTTTATGGTCAAGTCCGAAATACCTCTTGGACCAATTGCCAAATTGCCGAATAATGTTACAGTTGCTCCACCGTGCTTGGAACTAGTGACGCTGTTGATGAATCTGGTGGAATAGACACGTTTGAAGTTTACCATATTGTGGATGTAACCTGTCTCTTAGGTTGAGAATGCAAGCAACCTAGCTGCGACTAAGTTTGAGTCACACATATCACCCAAAGACTGAATGAATATAATTCATCATGACTTTGAAGGTATTTTCACTGTAAAGCATGCAATGTACGTCGAGAGTAAAAACATTTAATCATCAGCTAATATAGAACCTTACGTGATATATCTCTACAGTCATCCCTCCTCTTATCATGCGATAACTCGCATATCCCGGCTGTAGATTAAACGAGCTACAACGCCGCAAGCAGTACTAAGTAAAGCTGTCCCGCCAAAATAGTACATGGCAGGCCGAAAAGACACGATGGAGTCCGCAACATCTGCATGCGTGACCTGAATAAGGGCCGCCGATATTGCATTTCCTCCCATTATACCAGGCGCCCAACCCGTGAAAAGCAAACTCAAGGCTCCTGGAGCATCATCGATTGGTAAGTGACGACCGACAGCTGTAGGAATGGCCACTGCAAAACCTCCATTTGACAGTCCGTTGAGAATGCAAAACAACAAAACCAGTCCTAGGTTGGAAGAAAAGGGCCAAATAGCAAACAGCGAAACGGCATTTACCAGGGAGGTAAAGAACAAAGCGTTCATGGAACCAACTCTATCGCACGCATAACCTGTCAGAATTCTGCCTACTGACATACATGCCAAAAGACAGGCAAGCGTGGCTATGGACGTAGAGTTTGAGAAGCCAAGAGCGGTGTTGATGTAGGGGAGAAAGAAGGTTGGCGCATATATGGGGAAGATACCCACTGCGCCAGCTGCGAAATGCCACGAGAAACAGGCATCCCTGAAGACAGACCATTTAACAGGATATTCTGGGGGAGCACCGCGGTCCTTGACGAGCAAAGCGGTCGGTATGCCAGTAACAAGCGATGCAATACCCAGTATCCGAAAGGTCCAGGCGACTCCAACGCCTTCAGTCAGATATCCAACTGAAACAGCTCCAATAAGAGCCACAAAACTGCCACCAAGCTTGACGATGCCATTCGCCAACCCAAGTCGCTTCTTGAACCACAACACCGGAAGAGTGTTATACAAAGTGTCGGTGAAAGCTGATCCGATGCCGTATGAGACTCCACAGGCAAAGAATAAGCCCACGAGGCTTTCAACAGCCCAACTGCTCGCTAGGCAGCCAATCCCATAGATGGCGATACCAATCATCATGCCTGCGCGAGCTCCGATGACACGAACTATTCGGATGGCTGGTATCCCAAGCGCAGGGCCCAGGGCTACACCGAGACTACCAACGAATGACAAGGCGCTGAGCGAAGAGCCTTTGAGACTTGTTCGAAGCAGAGCTGCCTGTAGGATGCCCCAGGATCCAGCCCAAAGATTGATCCAGAATGTGTGAATGAAGCAGACAAAGATGATGACCCATCCGTATCCGCCATCTGGGGGCGTGTCGGGATCTTCAGTAGGAGTATCAATCTCAACAATGATTGGATCCGGGATAGAAATTGGCTCCAGTTCCATGGCTATAGGTTGGGCGTTGTTGATGGCTTCGATTTAGATAAGAAGGTGCTATGTGTGGAAGAATTGACTGCTTTGATGCCGTGGTATGATGGTCGTTGGATGAAAGAAGCAACTGCTTTTGTGTAGACTTGGACTGTTGACGTGGCTTCTAGATACATGTCCCCGTACAGGACAACAAATCACTACTCGGTGGATGAATACCGCACAACGTTCCTGGCCCCTCATCAGTCTCGATATCGGAGATCTTGTATCCCGGAATGGTAGCCCCATAAACTCGCATACTAAATCCCTGTTCAACAACTGCCGTGGGCTCCGCACCTTTCCGTCGGCAATTTCCGCTGAAAACCAATTCGAGGCGTCAACTTGCAGCGTGACATTTGCCAATCGGAAGTTTACGAGCTTTCGGGGAAAAGATGCATAATGCATCCATCCACGTCAACTCGGTAGCGTTTGTTATGCGGGTACACCTATCGGTACTTGATATGCACCGAGACAACATGGGAATGAGAAAGGTGGGTAAGAACCCCTCGTATCTGGGGTTTAAAGTCTGACACCGACATTGCTTTTCCAGTCCGAGAATCGCAAAGAATTACCTTACTCATCGCTTCACTCCCAATACACCAACAACCATGGCACCAGCTGGAGATCTCGGTAGGAGACTCATCCCTTGTATCCTAGATGAGATGTCTAGAGATGAACCTGATAGAGTCATTTACTCCATTGCCAAGTCTGCCGATATTTCCAAGGGTTTCACCGAGATAACGGCTCGCAAGTTTGCCAATGCAGTGAACAAGACCGCCTGGTGGTTGGAACATCTTGTTGGCAGGAGCGAGACATTCCAGACCATTGGCTATATTGGGCCACGTAAGTATCCTCGGTTTATGAAGCATGGGTTAGATGCTAACCAGACAAGATGACATCCGCTATTTTCTGCTGAATCTGGCCTGCGTCAAAGTAGGATACCAAGTAAGTTACAATGCGCAATGAGGAAAATGTCTCGATGATTTATTTTAACACACAACACTGCTCAGGTCATCTTTTTGTCCCCAGGTAACAGCATCGAAGCTGCCTTGGGTCTTCTTCAGGCGACCAAATGTAGCCTTTGGGTTCATCCGGTGGACTGTCCGCCGTATCAACTGGTTGACAAGATCCAACAGACCTGGGAGCTGCGTATTATGGAGATTCCCACAGTCGCAGAACTCCTCGACGCTTCTAGCTCCCCTCACTATCCTTATACCAAGACCTACGATGAAGCAATGGGAGACACTTTCTACATTCTTCATACGTCTGGTACAACAGGCTTACCCAAGCCCATCTATCTCAGCAACGGGTTGCTTGCTACCATGGACGCCGCTCGCATCTTACCACGGTTTGAGGGTGATAACGGCGCTCGTCCATGGGCAACGTTGTATGAAAAAGGCGATAGACTCTATTCGCCTTGTGTACTTCTTCATGTGCGTCCTGGCAGCTACCCCAATCATCGAGTTGTGCGACTGACTTCAAACACAGGGTCCTGGAATATTTATGAACCTCTTCGCGACGTTCCTTTTTGATACACATAGTGTGATGGGCCCCATCGGTGTGCATCCTGACATGGATCTGCTCGCATCACTTGCAGACCACGGCAACATTGATATTTGGCATTTTATGCCTGTGTACGTCAACGAGCTGGGCCAGCACCCTGAAGTATTGGACAAGTTCAGATCCTCCAAGTTCATAGGAGCTGGTGGAGGTACGTCCCCAATTCATTATGTAACTTTCGTTAACAAGTCTCCTTAGGCCCTGTGAGCGCAGAACTTGCCGCGAAGGTGAATGAGGTAGTACGTGTTCACAATCTGTTTGGAACAACTGAAGGCCTCTTCATGGGTGACATGCTAGTAGACAAGGAGGACTTCCTCTGGGTCTCGTTTCACCCCTACGCCGGGTTTGAATACACGGAAATCGAGAGGGGTCTGTTTGAGCAGCGCGCCGTTAAGAATGAGCACTGGGCTCTGCATCAAGGAATCTTTCATACCTTTCCTGATGTGAAGGAGTTCAACTTCAAGGATTTGTTCATCAAACATCCGACCAAGCCTAACCTCTGGCTCTACATGGGTAGAAGCAACGACATTATCTGCTTGGAGGATGCACAGAAACTGTCTCCTATCGAGACGGAGAACATGATTTGTGCTCATCCTAATGTCAAAGGATGTGTAATGGTATGTAAGCCTATATTGTGCAGCACGATCTTGAGTAGCTTACACATTTAATAGATCGGAAACGGCCAGAAGTTCGCTTGTCTGATGGTAGAGCTGAAAGACAATACTCCAAGAGATTCGGAGACCATCAAAGGACTGATGGGAAGTCTTGGGGATATCATTGACGAAGCAGATCAGAATCAGCTGCTGAGGGGATATCTTAGAAGAGATTACATCATTATCGCAGATGCCAAAAGACCTCTTCCACGGACGGAGAAAGGAACCATTTCACGTCGAGCTGCTTTGAAGCTTTATGAGAGCGAAATTGATGCGTTTTACCGCTTGAAGGGGGAGGCAACTGTGGGTGTCGGCCAACGTACAGCTCAAGCGGCCTAGATAGTTTCATGGCCCATTAATTGAGGTAATCTTAAAACATGGCTCTATTCTTCCGTCGTCACTATCGTCATCTTGTATCCAGGGCAGCATCGTCTTCAAAAGCCGTCAGATACCTATCCAGCTTCATTGAGTGGATTCTCTACCAGTCTGCCCATAACGTAACATTCAGCTTTTGTGCCCTCTTCTGTATGTCGAGAGCCGAAAACAGACTCAATTTGATCCTGTGTGAGGTCCTGAACCTCACCACCAAGTGGATGTCTGATGGAAACTGACTGCGGATCACGTAGCCCGTCTCTCAATGTTTGAAGAGCATCTCGCCAGAAACCAACTCTGATGTGAACTAAAAACAAGGAAATCTCTGATCCGACGTCAAGAGCCGCAGCCAATGTTCCAAGTTCCGTAGTGGTGACTGAGATCTCGGTCAGATGAATTGAGCGTAGGTTAGTTCCCGGAGGCCATGTAAATTTGATGCCAACTGAGGTCGGAGCAGCGAGTATGGATTTGAGGCCTAAGCTGTACCAAAACTCGCCGAGATTTATATCAGCATATGAGATGCATCCGGCGTTGAAGATTGCGCCCAAGTATTCGTTTATGACCTCCATCTCAGTTGCTGTCCTGACCGTGTCGTTATCCTCCTCGTTTCTAATCCATGGGCCACAACCGCTGCGGCAACGTGGCTGAAAGCTGAATTGCAGAAGATCAACCCGTTTGATGGCATCTGATAACTTGTCTCGTTCATCACTACTGAGCTGCATCGTCGTGTAATCCGGCGCAGCTGATACATGGATAGAGAGTTGATCGATGAGCAGTGAATCTACAGCGCCTAGTGCAAGTGGAATATCCACAAGTAGTCTCGTCGGAACCCCAGGCCAGATGGATTCGTTTGGTTGGATCCAACGTGCTTCCTCCCATAGCATTGGCCGAGAAAGGACTTCAACTAGAATACCGGCTTGGGCTGAGGTGTCTTGTTCGCCAACTGGGTCAAACTTGCGGCCTAGATCATAGTTGTTTGTGAGAACACCATCGTGGATCATGACGTGCCGGATGTTCGGCAGTCTTGTCAAGATCCTGGCCATTACCAGTGCGAATGCACCGTCGCCGTGGGAGCGCACCTGTGAATCGTATCTTTCTTTGTACTTTCCATAGGCATGTTGGAGAACACTCTCTGCAAAGTCTGTCGGGCTCGCCGTGTTGTGTGGTGCAGATGACTCTACAGACTCATCGTTATGCATATATGCCTCATTGACGAATCGTTGCATCAGACTCTCGAATGTAATATGTCCGCCTGAGTTGGTGTCAATTGCATCGAAAATTTGAGTTCGTTGACCCCATTCAGATAAAACGGCTGCGGTGAAATTGTCAAGACTGGCGGCAATCCACGGATGGTAGAAATGTAATCGCACATTGACCTCGCGTACTCCTTCTGCGATGCGACGATTATCAAGCACCTGACGAAACAGGACAACACTCTCTGGACGGCTGAAGTCTAAAGTTCCGCAGCGACGAACAGCATAATCGCTGCAGAGCAGGCAAAACCTCTTGCAGGTTAATCTCAGGCTGGAAATGGTGTCATTTTGATGCTTTCGCTCTGTGCTTCTGCATAGTGTAAAAACAGCAAGCAAGATTTCGTTAGACAAGTTCAAGAGTCTTGGAATGCTCTCAGGCAACGCAGTCATGGTGCTGCTGAATGAAATGTAGATATCAGTTGATCTTTGGTCGGACGATGCGGAGAAATTGAAATGCCGTGTATTGTGTGGCGGGGGAAACTTTTTAAGTGACAAAAAGTCTTGGGCAGGTCTCTGTGAATTTAGTGTGTCATAGGACCATTGAAATTTGGTACCCTAACGACCAGCCATCGCCTATTGGACAGAGCTAAGCTAGGATGATCTCTACTGGGTGCGGGTAGTTTCGCGCCAAGTTCATTTAGATTGGTTATGTGATTCAGTGTTCGTGCTCAAGAAAGCCAGGTTAGCTTGTTCATGCATGAATATTCAAGTCGCTGGTAGAACAGTACCGTAGCTTTTGAACGTTGCCTTTTGATTTAGCTATTAGTCCCTTACAATGAAGAGTGTGGGTTGTTCAGGAATTTGCTATATAAGGAGATTTATCAGCTACTTATGCTCGATTCATTCTTTAACCAACAACAACATAAACCTTCAAACTCAGCAACGCACCCAATTACACCACTCAATACCCACAATTCCTACTAGAAACCTCACCATGAACCGAACCAAAATCCGCGAGTTGCTCTCGAGTGAGCGTATTATCCAATGCATGATTGATGCATACAGCTACGAGGGCGACGCTCTTGTTGTGCAGATGACACCCGAAAATGACTTTTCCAGGTGGGTTGCTTCCGATGTCTTAGACACAAAACACAAGGGTACCTATGAATTGGTTCTCATTGGCACCTGGAAATATGAATGGCTCCGTCGAGACGATGTTGTCGTTGAAAGTCCCCGGTCTGGTGGACCAATCGATGATGAGTGGGTACGCGATTGCTTCGGTGAGCTTTGGAGAGCGGGCTACGTAGTCTTGGCTTGGCGGCCATGCTGCGACGAAGCAATGCCCTATATGGATCGACGGGGGAACACTTTGCCGATTGAAGAACGCCCTCCCCTCAAGAACTCGGAAGAGTTGGAAGACACTGCGGACGACAGCACTGTATCTGAGTTGCGAAAGCAGATTTTGGAACTCAAGAGGACAGTCAAAGAGAAAGAGATTCAACAGGTCCGACACATGATGTCATCTAAGAAGAACATGGCCCGATATTATGACATTGAGTTGAATTATGAAAACGAAATAGAACGATATCGCGGCGCAGTCCAGGAAAACGTATAAGAACTTAACTTTCTACGTCAGAGGGTGAAGGAATTGGAGGTTGCCAACAACATCGGAAGCAAGGACCAACACTTGCAGGAACTTCTGGTAGGGTTACTTGATAAGATGGCCCTCTCTTCTGAAAGAAAGAGGTCCAAGTACCTCGAGCTAAAGGCTGCTATGCTACAACTGAAGCTTGACTTGGCCGACTCGTTGAAACACTTTGATGTCATGTTGAAGCACTACGATGACGAGAAGGCTAAGAACATCCAATCTCCACGACTTATACAGATTGGTAATGATTTTAAAAGGGCGCGCGATACGATGGACAAGGAATCGACAGCATTAAGAAGGATCAAGAAGGAAATGGAGGCAGCAGAGCAGAACCTTATGGAGGAGTTAGGTACAGCCGACTAGAACTAGATTACCAATAATAGCTTGAGGACGGGATAGCTATTATTTTATTCGTATGCAAATGTAACCAAAACTGCATCTTCTTTTACTGAATATTCTTTCTTTGTGATGACGCACATGATTTAAGCTTCGGAGCATTTCCCACGTGAAGTGTCATCGTCATGACTCGAGCGAAGCCCATTAGCGCAGGTCTAGCGATCCAAGTGCAAACTCAAGCAGCGCCACGACTCATGTTTCATCGGCAGTGCAACTTTCTCAACCAATCGCAACTGATGAAACGAATCACTTGCGATGAACTGTTCCTGGGCTAACAATCGTAGTGAACCCTTTTGGACTCGCAGCTCCAATAGCCATTCTGTTACGGATGCGCTCAGACATTGGACACCAGCTAGCAAAGCCGCTTGACCGGATCGACACCCAGGAAAATCCACTGCCGAACCCATCACATGCACCACGATTGTCTCACTAAAATGATCTGCATCGCCTCTCTCCCCTTTTTGTGTCCCCTTCCCCTGGCCCTGGTCCCTCTGAACTTCCCTGTTCTCTTCAACTCCATGTCTGGTTTGAGATGTGCCTCTCGCGATGAGGGCAGGCGTTATAACTGCGCTTCTTAGTTTGCTTGCATTTACGGGTGTGTTCGGGACTCCAAGCTTCAACACGAGTCTTCCAGATTGCGCGGTTTGTGAATTGTTGATTGACCTTGTAGTACTTATTGCTAATTTTAGTAGCAAATATGCTTTCGGACGTTGACCAGCCCGGACTGCTATAAGCCGAGCTGCTTCTGTACCTCTACCACCTTTCACAATGACTTGATACCCTGCCTCAAGAGCCATTGCCCGATTCCCCAAGTCTTCGGTACGTAATGCCCAGATCAGTTGGCCATCATAGGTTGACTGACCGACCCAGCGTCGTTGCGATATCTCGACCAAAAATGCGAGCGACCACGACGCGACCGAAGGAACGATGCCTGGCCTTACCTATCGATACACATTCTCTGCATCCTTTGTGCAGTCATTCGAGTTTACACAAAGATATTCATTGTCAGGAAGATTTCACCCGAAGACTGGCTGTCGTTTACTTCTTTGGTTATTTACATCGTGTACTTTGGCATTGGACACCATGGTAAGGACTGAGTCAACTACTCTGACGCGTTGAGCAGCTTCTAATTCATTTCAGCGTTGATGTCGGCATTTGGGCAGGATATTTGGTGGGTCAACGCTGATGATCTATCCCATGCCCTCAAGGTAATTTTCACTGTCTATTTATCTAAGCCCCTTGAAGCTAACTTGGCAAGCTCTTTTGGATCGACTGTCCTGTCTATACTCTCCTTCTCGGGATGACGAAAGTCACAATAATCCTGTTCTATATCCGTCTGTGTCATGTTTATACGTTGTTTTGCCAGCTATGTTGGGCTTGCATTCTCATCATCAGTCTCAGTACAGGCGCCTTGATGTCACTGAATATCTTCCAGTGCACTCCGATCCGATGGAATTGGGATCGATTCAGTGGAGAAGATGTCGACTTTTGGTGCATGGACTTGAACAAACTGCAGTGGTCAATTAACATCACCAATATTATCTTTGATCTTGTAGTTCTGGTACTTCCAATACCGCTCATATGGAAAAGTATGTCTGGCTACATTTTGGAAGGATATGAGCTGACGTTGATAGCAAAATCAACCTTTCGCCGAAAATTGGGCATTGTCTTGATGTTCAGCCTTGGAGTCGTCGTCCTCGTCGCAAGCTGTCTCAAGATGCGCTACAACGTTCTCTACGGCCACTCCAACAACATAACATGGGACTACATGGATTTAATGGTATGGGCCGGAATAGAAAGCTCCGTCAGTATCGCAGCGCCATGCCTACCAACTGTTCGACTGTTTCTACACAAAGTGTTTCCTACGTCATTTGGGCGGATATTTGCATTTGGTTCACATTGCGAAAGGACGTTAGACCAAGAGATCAAGGCGGAAGAGGAAGAGGTTGCGCAGTGGGCAGCTGATATTGAAATGACGACGGACTCGCGACTTCGTGTTGCGAGACCGAGACGAGCAGCGATAAGTTTGGGTGAGGGATTTGAGAATGGAGGGAGGATGAAAAAGAAGAGGGCTATGACGGAAGCAAGCCGGATCTTGAAGAGTGTAGATGAGATACCATTGTCGCCGTAATGATCTGGTGTACATTAATACAACTTACTTGCACTTAGTCATTCGCAATTGTCTTCAATCCTTATCTTGACTGTCGGATTTTTCAGTCATCGCTGGAAGCTCATAGCCCTTAAATGCAATTATACTATTATAACAAACGTGTCATTAATTGACAGTGTAATGTTGCTAATATTACAAGTTTTTAATAATCCCATTGACGGCGTCTGATCCGATCGTGGCACCTGCACCAAAAGTTATTGCGTGGCCGGCCCTTTTTGCAAAGTCTTTGCCGTGATGATGCTACTCAGATTATTAACAATGTTTTAGGTAAAGGCTTCAGTTGATGAAGGAAACAAACCTCTTCATGTTCATGCGCTTCTTTGGGCTGAGGCGGTGGCGCTGACTGATCCTTCTTTTCCTGTAATTGATTAGTCGGATGAATGTCGACGTGATTGGGAATACTTACTGCTTGGGCTTTTGTCTCGGGCATTATGGCTCTTGCAAACTTCTATCGTACTGGAAAGGGGGTTGATTAATTTGTAGGCCTTTTGTTGCCAAAAAGTAAATAAATCAGGAGATACTATACAAAGTCTTATATACAACTCTGATGACTTACTCCAGGAATTATCCAGCGGAATGTCAGCAATGACGTGCATACGGTGATTATGACGAGCACTATGTTATTGATGAGAGGATTAGGTTTTGCTGAACGGCTAATCGGCAATGATTACATTGAAATGTATGCCATAGTGGAAAGTCTATTATGGGTGAGTATGTCGTCACTTGCCGATATACTCCACAATTGGGCGATCCTATACTATTTCGTAAAGTGTCGATTTCTTGCACGTCGAGGAGTAACGCGATTCTCAACTCATGAAGCCAATCACCACTATTTCGGACACAAACAAGAGCTCCATCGTTGACGCCCTAGACGAATTCTATCTCATCACCCAAAATCGTCGATCTTCTTATCAGTGACTCCTACGTCCTCTCCCAGATCATGCGACAGAGCCCTGAAGTTTGAAGAACAATCTTGCCATCTTCATCGCCTTCACCTTCGTCTTCATTGTCAATTTCATCCAAGAGCGCAAGGATATAGTTGTCATGATCTTTGAACAGCACAAACCTGTTATCGAAACGTCAAGGTGTTCACAGGCAAGAAGACGCGCGCAGAACTTCGACCACCGATATCCCTGCCGTCATGCTATTCCATAATGGCCGATACAAAGAATTGCATACACTCAATAATTAGCCAATAATATACCCTCCTACGTCAAATCCGCTTCCGGATAAACATCTCAATCTGATAATATTCCTCTGTACGCGAATCGCATTGTGAAGTGGGGCGCGACGACTAAGAGCGCACAAACGACGCTACCTTGAACACCCAATTGAAAGAACAGAAATACCATAAATGCCTTGTTCTGAACACACAAATACGGCCTCTTTGACTGTTCGCTGGGAACTACAGCACGTATATATAATGTTCAGTAATGGGGACAAGTGCTAGACGCGAACACAACCCGTAACCGCATCTTGTACTGTATTTTACGACCGAATTTGCTGTTCTTACTTTCTCTTTTTGGAACTTTGAACACTCTATCTATTCTTCAATTGGTTGTGGCGGAGTGTTTACTATATAATGGGATAGTTTCACATTCAATCATTAACTCCATCATCCACCACCTCACATCTACAATCCAATACACCAATCATCAAGATATCGAGACATCAAGGCCTAAATACCTCAGCTCTTCAGTCAAGGACAACTCACCATGAACAACGCCCAATCCACAAAGGCAAAGCAAACTACTGTCGACATGGAAACTCTTGATGGTCTATGTCACATTCACATCCTGCACGGATATCGGGTTTGTTACCCGATCTTCTGGGATATTGCCCGGGACTCATTCAACGACCTGGATAAGATCTTGGGTCTTAAGGAAGCCATTGATAAACTTCTAGACTTTGACTTCGAAGCAGAGTCTTCGAACGGATGGTCCATTGAGCAGAAGATCTGGGGAGTCCGCGTTGCAATCGACATCCTCGAGGACATTCTTGACTCCCCTGATGTCGCCGAGGCCTTCCGTCTCGGAAAGGAGAATGCAGAGGACTGGGTTGAGCATGCCCATCTCTTAAAGCCTGGTATGAATGTCTCCCCCTACATGTCCGCTATGCAGGATCCCTTGCTTCGGCGGGAGGTACTGGCCAGATGGATTCCCCACTGTGAATTCAAAATGCCCGCGGTACCTGAACATCTACTGAGGTTTCTTCATACGTCAGAGGGATCCGCGCCGGTCGAGGAGCCTGAGAAGAAGGAGAAAAATTTCAAGGGAATTCCGATAGGACCTGTTGACGAGATGGCGGATTTGCTGTGCAAGGTCAAGATTGATTGATGGTGTAAGGCCAAGAGATATTTTGACTATTAGATACTTTTCTTAAAGCAATTGGATAGCTATATCAAATTTACATGTCCCAAAGTTAAATCGTACAGAAATTGCTGTCAATGCTGTTAGTTTTACCGTGATGGTTATGCTTAATGCTGGTTCCTAACAGTCTGGATTAAAAGACCTACATGCCTTCGAGATCATAAAACATATTGGTTCAAGGTCTAGAAAACATCACAAAAGTTACATAAACACGTCTGATTCATATTGGTGACCTTAGCTCATACATAGTTCATTTTAAGCTGTAGTTGGCAAATCTTTTATTTGCAAACCTGATTGATCCTTACGTTATGTCATTATCTATCATTATGCCCTGTGAGAGCTCCAGCACAGAATCAATAAACCATTATTAGGGAAGAACGAGCGGTAGTCATGATTTCCTCTTGAAGTTATTCTCATCTTCTACATACAAGCTTGAATCGTGGGTAGCAAAGATGAAATTGCACTACCTCCAGTCTACCGGATGTCATAACCACTCCAACTCCTTACTCATCGACCACTCAATCATCCCCAACCGTGTAGATAGCAGTAGCAAGGTACTCGAAATGAAGACTCATACCCGTCTCACCGCAACATCCCAGGTAGAAGCCAGACTCGTCGACGGCCTGGTCACCAGAAGGAGCAAGATGATAAATCCAGTATTGCTTAAATGCTGACTTTGGGTCAATGAAGATTGGCGTGATCTGGACCCTTGGGGGGCGATCAAACTTCGTCTTGAAGGTGAAACGGGTGGGTCGGCCATCGGCGTATCGGGTGATGATGCCTTTGCCGGCTTCAACCTCACCGATACTGCCGTGCTTGGTGTCTCGGACTGTGCCTAGTTAAGGATAAAAGTAAGTATTAGAGACTCAATATTGGGAGGTATGACTTGACCTACCTGTGGCGCTCATGATGATGTCTGTTTATGTAGCTTTGGTCTGTTTGAGGTGATATTTGTGTGTAATGAAGGATATCTCAAGACCTCGGAGAAGGCAGGCGGTCCATGCCTTATATACCCTCCGAGATGGTCTGGGATGTAAGCACTGTTGTCCAAGCCATTTAGGGCTTTGTGCTGGCGAGGGCATATTCTGTCTCAGCTGAAAGCTTCATGACATCATGCAGTATGTCGGTGTAATGTAGGCGCGTCTCATTCGACAGACAAACATCGCAGATACGAGAGCGTCATGTCGGCGGTTTCTGGCTTTGGCTGACTGAGGCGAGGCACGCAACTTAGGAGAGATAGTCTATGAATACATGACGAGCAGAAGTTTGGTGGGAAACACTCTTTCACGTTGCATAGGCTAAGATCGGAGCTATGCACGTCGCGCCCCGAGACACGGCACGATAAGACACGGCCTTGATCTCGACTTTCATCCCTATCTGTGACCTGTCATCTTGAACGCTAAAGAATCCTCTGTATCTCGGCCGCCGCTCGTTCATAGTCAAATGAAAACCCGTAGATTCCTGTCAAATTCCATCGCAGGTCTTCCCGCAATCTGAGCTCTTGTGCTCACATCTTGCCATATCTCATATCACCAAGTCTCCGTGTCTCACTACCCCTCTTCACCGCTTCATGCACAGCTCCAAATGGAGTAATAGGGTTTTCCCCTGTCGGGCCTCAAACACTCAACCCTCTTCAATTGCCAGCCACTCCACCACCGAGAGCATGACTTCCCAGCCTTCATGACAGTCATGCAAAGAATCAGCGGTAGAGCTTCCTGTAATGGGACCTCTGCAAAACGAGACGGGGGCAGCCCAAGTCCGAAGCGATACGTGGTCAGACACAGTGGAACCTGCTTACTTGAGTAAGAGCCACTATTGCGCGTCCTTACCTTTCAGCTCTCTTCGGTCTGTTTCTCCTTGCTATGTGGCGGACCGTACACGGGGACGAGTGAATAATGGCGCAAATGAGCCTATCGGCAATTGTTCCCATGTCTCTAATCCGGTCCGCTTCCTCCGTTCCCGCGGTCTTCCGAAACGTCCCATTGGTCTCAGGATAATGTGCTGTGAATCATGCATTGGTGGCAGTCATCTTGAGGAGTAGCAGTAGTGAGGTCTTAGGTGACCAATTATATCTAAGCAATCTGAGACGGTCAATCCAAACGCCTGTCGAAAGCATCCCAGCCCTGATTGATGGAGCCCCCCTGACCATGATTTAAGCTCCTACCGCTTACCACTTCCTGAAGCACTTCTCAGACACTAAGATGCTCAATCGTGCAGCCACAGTAATTTCTTTCTTCCCTTTTGTTCCTTATGCTCCTGTAAATCTAGTTTGAGAAATGAAGGGGAAAAGAGTAGAGAATACGTGCAAGAAGTGGAATCGAGTGCGGTGTCGAATGAAAGGGCGGCGCCTTCGCATTCCAATTGAGATTGCCGCCTTTCGCTGTCTGCATGTCGAGTTGGATCTGCGAAGTGGCTGAAACAAACCGTGATCCTGGCCTGGAGGTATGAATATGTTGACTCAGCCATTCCTCAAGGGAGAAAGGAGAATGATACGTTCTGCGACTCGTCAGAGTACGAAGACACTGCCTTTACAAAAGGAAGTACGCGTGGATCACCCGATCAAGGGCAATATGATGGAGAAGCATTATAGTGATCCTACTGAAGACGGAAGTGAGGTCAGCGCTTGCATAGATCACGAATGGTGCTAGCGCTGGCGCTGCTGTACTCATCTGCCAGCTCCAGCTTACGGCTCGATTGGGCGGGTACTATACTATTTCTATCCCAAAAGTCAATTGATGATCGACGTAACATGCAGAAAATAGAGAAAAATTAAAAGCTCGGTGACATGACCAGGCTGGAATAGTTTTTCTATATAGTTGCTGTAGACCATCGGCCAAAAGGGCTGTTGTAGAAGATAGTATATTGGCCACCTGTTGGCTAGTTATCCTCCTTCTAGTTCTTGAACGAGGAGGCAGCCAAATTGTCAGCATGTTATCGTCAACCAGGTTTTCTCAAAATGCTCATTACAGCAGTTTCTATAATAGGGTTAAGGGGTTAAAAAGAGGCTTTAGCCTTAAGGCTATAAAGGTAAAGAACACTAAAAAAATATATATAGGTAAAATACTTATTGCCCTTATTATTATCTAAAATCTTACTTTTAGCTTTTTAGCTAAATATCTTAATAATTAATTCTAAAGGTATATAAATAAGTAGCTATTACTTAACTATAAAGATAATTAAGCTTAAAGTATATAAAATACCTAAAAGTAAGCTATTTAATATAAATAAATCTATTAACTTAAGATAATACTTTTAAAATAACTTTTACTATATAATAGCTAATTAATAATTAATTATTAATAAATATAAAAATTATAACCTTAATTTTAGCCTTTTTCTTTATTATTAATAATTAAATTTATAAAAAGTTAAATAAATTAATAAAGTTTTAAAGTCTTAATATAGCTATAAAGAAAAATAGCCTTAATAATAAAGTCTTTTTAAAAGTTATTAAATTTAGCTATTATAGCTATATTATAATAATAAGACCTTTTCTTTATGTTAAAGAGAAATATTATAAAATAATTAAAGAATTATTAAATAATAAAGTTAAAAGGGTAAAATTAATAAAAGAGAATTTAAGTTAGGTATATATAGTATTAAACCTATAAGAGATAATAAATATTAGGATTTTATAGCTATAAGTATAAAGAAAAGTTAAATAGGCTAGTAGTATTTAATAAAAAAGCTTATTAAAGATTTAATTATAATTAGAATTAAGTTTTTAATTAAATAAAGCTTTATTAAATAAGTTATAAAGGTTTTAAACTTAAAGTATAGTAATCTTATTATATCTATAAAGCTTTATTATAGCATTAAGATTTTAATTTATAAGGAATTTAGTCTTATTAATAGAAAATAAAGAAAAATATAAAATACCTATCAAAATACTTTAAGTTATTTCTTATTTTAATATAAGGTCTTTACTATTTATTAAGTTATTATAAAAGTATATTATTTTAATTTTAATTAAAAGACCTATCTTTAGAAAGGCTATATTTATATATTATCTTTAGAAGCCTAAAGTTTATTGGTATTTTTCAGTGTATTAGCTTAATATATCTTGTTAAGATATTATAAGCTTTAACTATTAATTATTATAAGTTCTTCACTCTGCAGCCTTGTGACCAGTATAAGGCTCCTTTCTTCCATTTTATAGTGAGAACAAGCTATTCTCAAACCAACCAGCTTGGCATCCTCAATCAGCTTAGAAACTTCTCACGCCAGACCAGCCGATCGTTACTCTTAGAAGTATTTGGTACGCCTGTATGCTATACATATCTTAAGTCCACTGTCCTTGAGCCCCAAAGCAGGCAGAACCAGAGCACGCATCTCGGATCGTCTGAAGCTTTTCTGTCCTCAGCCTGTCCCTTTTCAGTTTGTGTTCTTGTAAGAGCTGTCTTGCCTTTGCTCATCATCCTTCTTCTTGACCATTTCGAAGAGCCGGATGTCGTTATCCATAAGTTGTGACATTTAGAGGAGCTTGAGCATTTGTCGAAACTCCTTCCGGATATCCATTCTGTCCATTTTTCTTTCGAATTCCTCGCACCATACCTGTGCTTTGTCATCACTCGATGAATCACCATAGCGAGGTGAAGGTTGATCCCTAACGTCATGTTCGGTTGACTGCCTTTTGTTTGCTGGCTCCTTAAGCTGGTCCGGATTGATAGTGTCTTTCTCGGAGATATCGGGGAACTTGCCTTAGCGGTCCAGGGGGGCACTGCTAGACTCGTCTTCCTGATTCTCGGCCTGCCATTTCAGAAAAGCGGCATACTGCCTAGCATCAACAAGAACCATTCCATCCTCGCTCGCATTCGGTTCTTCCCATGCGGTTGTCCAAATATCATCGAGCAGAAAGACTTCTTCGAGCACGTCATCAAATTGCCCATGATTCCTAGAACTCTCGGAACGACCACTATCAGAAGGCTCCATTGTTTAGCCTGATGTCGGTTGTTTTGGGTGTTGGTGATGCCTGTCTGGTGAGTGAGGTCAGTGGGTAATGGGGGAAGACGGCACTTGATGTACTGATGTAGAAGATGAGAAGATGTCAGTCTCTAGGGCGACCGAGAGAATCTTTATACTGTGCATTGTGGGGAGTTGATTTCGTGCTTGATGTTCTGACAACATCATTGAAGGCGTTATTAATGGGTAACCAACGAGTGAACAAATGAAAATGAACAAGATTGGGACGAACAAGGGAATGGATTTTAACATAAGACCAACAGCAGATCGACGCATCTTTTCGTGTGACAAATCAATCATCCTGAAACAGTTCGCAGACTTAAATCCGAGTGCTGTTCTGCGGGTTGTGTAGTTTCTCAAATACGTGGTTCTATGTCAGTGTGGCTCTCGGCCAGCCTACACTGAGCAATGCCCTGGACAATATCCCATCTCGGTAATGATAACTATGAGTGCACCCACAATTGTTCTATCACTTATCAAGCACTGCAAATGCATGTGTCCCCAAATAGCGGTGGATAGCTTTTAAATGATATGACTCCTTACTTAACTGTAGACGATAATTTGAGAGAAAGAAAATAGGGCAATTAGTTGGGGAGGCAGTTTCCGATAAATGTAGTAGCAAGCAAAACCATCGCTCCCAAAAGACGCCTTGCGTGTCGCAAGAGTATAGTAGACGTGCTCGCGAACATGCAGCACCCAGTAAAGATAATAACCCATTGATACGACGACGGCATCAAAAGATTAGCAGCAGACGAGTGTTGTAGGGCACTGCTGTTATAAACCAGCAGACCGCCAATGGGGCCTGCGAGCACGTTGCCAACACCTTTGCCGAAGTTGAGCAGACCAAAGACAATGGGTCCAGCTGTCGCGTCGTCCGTAATGGTTGTGCTCATCCTTGCCCAGATAGCAGTGTAGCCGGCCCCGAAGAAGCCATACAGAATAGTAAACCCGATCAGGACGGGAAAAGAATCTCCCAGTCTCCACATAGTGAGAGTCGTCACGGCCGCAACAAGGGTAGAGGAACAAGCAAGGACATCAAGTGGTACCTTGCGGTCTGAGAGGTAACCAAATACAAACTGTCCAGCAACCTGAGATACGCTCATGACGGCGAGAAGTATAGGCCCAGATCTTGCGCCGAGGTCCAGCGATGTCGCGAAAGATGGGAGATACAATGAAGGGAAGAAGTACCCAAAGCCCTGGAATAGGTTGGATACAGAGTATAGCCAGAAGATAGGACTTTTAAAGAAGGACCAATTCGTCTTGGGCGTGTTGACGTGCGCCGAGGGCGGTAGTCGACCGTCAAGGAATGGGATCAGAGGTCCTGTAAGAATAGCTAGGCCAACAGCAACAGCACGTAGTGTCGTTTGATAGCCGTAAGTTGAGAGAAGAGCCTGTACAACAAACGGCATGACAGCACCAGAAACACCAGACGCACCACAGAGTAGTCCGTAGGCCATCCCGCGACGAGCGACCCAGTACTCATTGACCATCATGAGGATAGGGTAGTAGAGAATCAGAAAGCCAACACCATAAGTGACACCTTGTGTGAGGATCAGAGTCTCGAGGGTATTGGCGAATGAACCTGCTACGAGCCCGCCGATACAAATGGGCCCTGTTCAGTGAAAAGCATTAGTCAAAGAGCGTCGATAAGGCGATTGACCTACAGCCAACCCAAATCATCTGCCGTCGCCATCGCTGGTGTTTCTGGATGAAAGGCATGATGAACGGAGCTCCTATGTAGCCAAGACCAGAGGCTATGGTGCCGACGACGCCGATGTACGGACTGCTAGCGAAGGCTGGGATTCTGGAATAGTAGTCCTGGAACACACCAAAAGACAAGGGAAACCCTAAGCACTGTCAGTTGCAGCTATGATGTGAGGAGAAGCTACGCACCCCATAGCAGAGTCTCAAACACAAAGGCTGCACCGAGGAGTCGCCATGCTGCGATCCCTCCGTCTATGGGAGCTAGTTGTGGTGTCTCATGTTCGTTGGCAAGGTGAACCTCATGATCAACTTCTAGGTGGGAGGATGACGTGGTAGGAAGCTGAAAGACTGCTGTCTGCGATACTGGTGCCGGCCAAGTACGGAGCTCGTGGGACTCAATCTGGCTAGACAATTCTAGAGTCTCTGTGTTACTCATTGTGATAGATAATGTAAACAATAATAGAGAGGAGACGAGCAAGGTATGACCAACAATGTCAGAAACCACCACATACGTAGGGTAGCAGAAGTGGATCTAGTTAAATAGTTAGCCGAGGCTAGTCAACCAATAGGACAAGTGCATGACAGTATGAACGCGGGGCTAGGCTGAGGTTTACAGCTCGCAATAAATTGAATAAGCTCTGGAGAAGGGCAAGAGCAGAACCCTTTAAGACTATGACTACCAGAAAGAAGACCATAAATATATAAGTATAAATGCATGGAGTCTAAATTATTCGTTGTTGAAAGGCTTAAATGATAGGGCATAAGAGATTTAGTCGCCGAGGCCCTTTAGGATGAATCGTCGGTAACACATATGATGTCTTGCGATGTCTTGTCTTCCATCCTTAAGATGAGGAACTGGGATCGATCTCTCTTATATCCATGATATCTGCCAAGAAGAAATATAATAGTTGATGAAGACGAGGCGGGACATGCGACTCGTTGTCAACAAGCTTGCGTTTGATCTCAGGGAAGAAAAGAGAAACAAGACACCCAGAACGATGCATGCGATAACCAGTAACTAAAAGATGGAATGCCACCCAAGATACAGAGTTAAGACACCGCCAAACGCAGGTGCCAGAGTAGGACCAAGAACAGGAGCAACAGTAGCCAAGGCCATATAGGAACCTCGCACAGCCAGCTTGACAATATCTGCAGTAACACCGCTGGCGAGAGGAATGAAGCCACCAGCGCCACGCTTTACAAACATCACAGCGCAAGCAGTCTGGCATAATTATTCTGCAGCACTAAAGAAATATTGGCGATAAGAAAGATCGAGAAACACACCATGCAAGCAAGACGGCGGCCACTGGAGCCTGAGGAACTTCCGACGAAGGGAGGGGAAATGCCTTGGAGGATTTAGATTCACATGAGCATTCGCGAAATGTAAGATACAATGATGGAGGTCATCTTGCAATGAATCTTGTTACTGATAGGTTGACGTCTGTCCAAGTTCGCTTGCTACAGTGGGTAGGGCCGCTTGATAAGCACAAAAGGCGCATTATCCAAAACGGGTTCCACCACGAACAGCCTAGGGCCAGGTGCGTTGTTGTCCTGGATCAAATCGACTTAGACATAACGCTGTGTAATTTAATATTGCACTTATAATGGCTAGTATTATTGTAGTTAAGTTACTAAGTTTATAGGCAATATTTATTGCGTAAATTTCATTAAATAAATAGTGTTACTATTAGCTGCCTGCGCTATCTAGAGTGCATCGCGTAATGTTATTATATAACATTCTTCACTTAAATTCATCGAGCAAAATTCATTAAACGGCTTTATTTATATACTTAATACTACAGCAACATATACGTTCCAAGTTCTGTGCGCTAATTCAAGCTTTTTACCCCAAGCTTTTATAACAAATAACACCTCTGGCTTACAACTTAGAGATAAAAGACCAGAGCCCAGCCACACTTACAGTCATCACATCCTACATGCTATGTGTCCACTCGTCCTTAATGCTGAGACAAGAGGGAGTCTATCTCGCTTTTCCCTCCAATGTTCCCTCCAATGTTTGTGTTGCTCTGCACACTTATTTACATTTCCAAGATATGGCGACTGACAATGGCAACATAGTGGCTCCGTTTTGTGAAAGGTACCTTTCGAGTGGATAAGTAATAAGACTTCTGCATGTATGTCAGAGTTAGTTGCAATGATGAAGTCAACAATTTCCTTGTCCTTCTTATGCGGAGAAGACATAGAAGGGAAGTATGAGTATGCCCACTAAGAAAAGGAATTATTTTTATTTAATAAATTAACCACAAACAGTGACTTAACTCGGATATAGTAAAATTATTAAATGCAGTAATGCCAGTCCTTTACTGTGTATGTCCTTTGCCCTTAAGTGAATTTGCGCCCCTTATTTATCTTCCTCTTTGTTGTTAACGCGACCACCGCGATTGCCTCTGTTAAGGCCCAGAGTTCTGGTTGTTAGCCACCGCTGTAGATTTGCACTTTCTAATAACCCTGTGACGGCGCGGAGGCTCTTCTTCGTCATTATCCTCTCATGCCCTCTTTGTCCCTTTTCCGCTTTCCTGTTGTCTAGCTGCAGGTTCTTTCATGGCGAAAGGCCAGGAAACCCAAGACCACAGCCATGCAGTCAATTGACGACGCCAGAATTCTGATTGACGCTGAGCTTCCACCTCTAAGCGCCGAGTCACTTCATCAAGATCAATCGGTTCAGGTTTGGGAGGCATTCCGAGAGGGACGACGTTAAGGTCAATGAGCTCGCATAAAACCTTCTGATCTTCAGCGGCTCGACATAAGCCACAAGCAGACTTCAACAGCTACATACGACCATAGGTAGTGGAAAATACGGGATCCCGTCTGCTCTCCCATAGTCAAGCCACTAACCGGCAGATTAGTAGTTGGGTCGGTGACGACCAGCGAATCCCCGCTGTTGTATGTTTTTGTCAATTGCATTTTTGCCACCAACCACTCAGGCTGAGCCAATGGTCTTGTATGCTTTTGACGTTATCCATTATCGGGGTTGATCCATTGTCTTTGTCGCGCTAGATCTATAGGGTTGTTGGCCAGGTTGGCACGACTTGGTGCCTTTTGGTTAATGTTGCGTAAACGTTGCGAATATGTCGGTGGAGTACAAAGGATCAAATTTGACTACTGACGATAACACTGTTCAGTGCGATTTCGCTTCTGGGAGTCCTCTTCTACTAGCTGCTGGGCTAAGGCCATGGGGGTTCATTACCACCCATCTCCACCAGTCTCTCCAAAGTCTAAACTAGTGCCCATACAGCAGATGCAGC